AAAAAATCCTCGATATGTATCAAATACATCCATAAAGATTAACTGTTTACTTAACATGTCACACAGCTCAGACATTAGCGTTCAGCAGGTTTGTTCATATCCTCATACTGCTCTCGGCTGAGACATGCCTGTGAAAATATAAACAGATCAATGTCAATAACATAATGAAAAGGGCAGGAAAAACACAGTGGAATGTAGCATCACTGCTTGCCAAATTAAATAACATCACCATACACTAAACTAAATCTTTAGATCATGTTGTTCTTTCCTTAACAAGCTACCTGTATTGCCATCTTAGCCATTCATTACAAGTTACCAAACTGCACGCAATGTAGACCAGTCCAGTTTCCAATTCATTGTTTACTCAGATTTCGCATCGGTGCTTAACATTCCAACAGTCATTTGTACTTCATTCTGTTTCTGCTCCTACGAAGCCCAAACAGTAACAGTTTCGTAATTGGATGTATTAACATAGGAACAAGGGGCCCCAGAAACACTGAGGGTCTTTGTATTACACAAGATGGGCTAGCTGGAGGATGAAACCATCTCTCAAGAGCATCTTGGTTGAATGAGAAACAGGTGTGACGGCGTTCGGATGCTTTTTCTCTCATGTCTGTGAGTGGATGGGCTAAGCTGCATCAGCTGCTCTTAAATATGATACAATGTAAGTGACATTAGTTGACCTCTACATGAAAAGCTTTGCAGATAGTGGTATAAATGTGATGTTACAAGGCTGCTATGGTTACAAGAAAGTGGGAAGTATCCATAGTAAACACTGAACAGAAAAAGTCCTGACAATGGCCTTGAGACATCTCAGAAAACTTTGTTTTGCTTTGTGCTCTAAAAGACATGAGGTAAAATCATCAACATCTCCAACTTAAACAGGTAAGACCTGTCATTGCAACTCATAGCCGTGGGCTATGCTGTAGCTTTGTGTTTTGATATTTTTAATGAAGCAAATGTGGTTGTCTTATTTAGTCAGTTTATTGGACCTCTTGTTTGGATGTTAGCGGGCTAGTTAAAGGAAGGATTAGTATTGTAGGTGAACTTTCCTCTCTGAGATCCTGCCTGGCCCTCTTCCTGGTTATAACTAGAGAGTTTATCATGATTAGTTGTGCATCATTACTTTGAGAATTGTTACCACATGCAGAGCCAGAGCTGAGAGGAAGAGTCAAATATACCCTCATTAGCCATTTCACAGGTGTCCTCTGCTGGGTTAAATCACGAAAATATCAACTTTGTGAGTTTTTAATCTCACACACTATTTTGATTTAGCAAAAATCAAAGTGACATTATGAAGTCTAGTACACCTAAACATGTTTTCGTTGTCTAATTGTTACAATAACTTAAAATGTATCACATAATCCACATAATGCATCACATTTCCACATAATGTACATTATTGTTGCTCCTCTATGCCCCACCTTTCTGAAACGTGTCGATTTTTACAAAGCTCACGTCACACACTGCGGGCTAGAGTGAGCGGCGGCCGGCGGATTCGACGAAGGAGCGGCCGGCGAACTTGCGGCAACCACGTGTGACGACCCCGGGCTGGACTCCGCTTCGTCCACGGTGAAAGCCGATCCGGCGATCCACAGCGCAAAGTTGATGTATTTCCTCAGAGACCAGCACGGATCAGCTCTAGGCATGACGAAGTGGATATCGTCCTCTTTTGGAAGGCCAAACAAAGTAGTTTCGCTTTCACAACAAAACACACAGCATCTCCACGACATGGCGGCGGCGGCAACAATACTAAAGCGAGAATAAAAGTTATGCCTTCTTTCTTTGTGTGAACATTTGGGCGGCGTTATGCAAACCTTCCCACACAGTGACGTAGACATATGGGGGCGTGTTCAAACGAGGCGTTTTAGGAGGGCGTGGACAAGTCTCAACTTTTATAAAGAATATCTCTTTGGATTTGAGACTTTAGTCTTTGCAACTTTACAGATCTTCTTTATGCACCAAGAGCTTGTAACACTCCAAAGAGAAAGGAAAAATTGAAATCGCATCAAATGACCCCTTTAAAACAAAATTATGAAAATTTTAAGGTAGATGAGTTTGTTTCTTCATTGGCTTTTCATTTCATAAGTCGTTAACTGATGGACTGGAGTCATGTGGATTACTTGTGGATTATTGTGGTGTTTTTATCCGCTGTTTGGACCCTCATTCTGACGGCACCCATTCACTGCAGAGGATCCATTATTGAGCAACTTATGTAATGCTAAGTCCAAATCTGTTCTGATGAAGAAACAAACTCATCTACATCTTGGATGGTCTGAGGGTGAGTACATTTTTAGCAAATGTTAATTTTTGGGTGAGCTCGAGCGTTTAAAGCAGCAGATGACATTACTGCAATGCATGCTCACAATAAATTGAAAATGATTGTGCGTTGGTTTAGACAGACAACATTCAATTCATGATTGTACAATACATGTTGCAAAAGACACTATATGCTCAATTTAGTAGCTGAAATTTTTGGTCAAACTATATGTTCTGTTTAAACAACTTCTATTTCAAGTTGACACAAAGTACAATTTTAAGGCAGCACTGACACGTAAATGTTGTTTTAGCTTTTTTTGCAGTAAAGATGTGTGACTGTGAGGTTGCTGTGTTGTTTATGGTAATGGTCCAAACCGTAGGTGAGGTGGAGTTACGGCTATTTTGGCACATTGCACTGTGTTGACAGAGCGAGTTATACATCACTTGCTGCAGGAATTAGCTGAAGTTAAGCGCTGCCTAGGGCTGTATGGTATATGATTATAAATGTATGGTTTTAAACAATGACAGTTTGTTGAGAACTGACAATTGTTGTGAAATGATGCACAGCAACATAAAACTGTATGGGGTGATGAAACCATGTGAGAAGAAACGAATTAAATGGTGTGTGAATTACTCAGAGAGGATTTAGGTTTTTTTCTTGAACTAGGAAAAAAATTAACTGTTGAATTAAAAGAACCAATGAGATTTGTTCTTTCGCGACAAGGGGGAAATACAAGTATAAAAATGATTTGTGCCAGTGTGTCATCATGTACATTTATGGGATTTTCTTGGTCCACTAATCACAGCATAAATGTGAATGTTAAATAGCGTAAGGTTATTTGAAATACCAAGAACAGGGTTTCTCAAACTGGGTTACGTGAACATGAAAATGTGTTTTAGGTCAAACGAGTTTGACTGACAAAAATATTTGGAAATCTGTGGTATAGCCACAGAAAATTTATTAAAAACAGTAACAGCAACTGCTTGTACAGAAAAATTAGTGTAGATTTTGTAATCCATATTTATGCCCAAGTAATACATTCTGATCATTTCACAGTAACTCAAAGCAGAACATACAGTTCTACTTGTGAATGTAGTTTACTTAAACTATCTCTCAAAATCCTGAATAAAAGCCATGAAAATTCACCCCATCTGTTTTCTAAACACAGTTTAGAGATCTTATTGTGAGCAACTCATCCATGATCGTGTTTCTTTTCCTTTTTTTAATGTTTTGAGTTATATTTAATTAAAGTGTCACCACTGGATCTTCTGGTGAAATGACATGACTTGTCTCTAGTGACGTATGCCAGGTTTTTCCAGTCATTTAGTCCAAGCTCACGTACATCTGCCTTCACATCTCAAAATCCATTCAACAAATGATGCACAGAACCAAGTCCCCACCCTATACGCATCTAACCTTGCAAACTTTGGCAAAGCCGATGAAGTGTGTTCTGAGCTCAGAATCTTGAGTAAACAAATAACACACTACCAAGGGATAGCATGTGTTTGAATACCACAGTATGTGGGAGTATGCCGAGTTTTGTGCATCAGAGCAACCCTCTCTTTAGGGAACATATTTGGTAATTGAGCTTATAAATAACAGCAGGTGGTCCCTGCATCTCAAACTCTCTGGAGGCGAATCTGTTGTCAGGAATAATTATAGAGATGGAGAATCAGTACAGACAAAAGCACCCGTTTCTGACTGCACCTGTCAACACACCGGAGACATCAGACAGACGTCTTCCGTCAGACTCATGATATTACCTGCCTTAGTTTCTCAACCTCATTTTATCTCAGACAGCAGACCCAGGACCGCTCATAGTCCGTTTGCTGACCTTCTGATGCATCTCGCATACAAAACTGGAAAGCATTTTCTTGATTACCCAAAGTTTGCTTCACGCTTCTTTTTATTGCTGTTTCTACAGGATCCACAAAGTATCTCATCTTCCAGAGACTTGCAGTGTAACCTGTGCAGTGTCACCTTCCTCTGGATTCTTGGATTCACAACACAAGGAATCTGATTCATAACTTGGGAATATAACCTCAAGCACAGCAACACGACTTTCAGAATGGCAGAGTAAAAAGATACGCGATACAATGAAGCAGCTTTAACATGTTGCCGCCAAAAAGTAGCTGATGTGCCTGCAGGAGAGGGCAGCCCTTCACAACAATGCAGCGTAGAGTTACAAACACAGTGTGAAAGAACTTGCTTCTTGAACTAATTCCTCATTTGTTACATAGTTTCTGTCGGTCCATGAAATTCTACAACCTTGCCTTTAGCTACAGTCAGTGGACTCAGCGAACAAAATGATACAAACCAGCATAAGTAAACTACTTAATTTATTGTATAAATGGGTATTCAGCTGTGTAAATGTCAACTGGAAATTTTCATAAAACAATTCTATAAAAATATATGGATGTAATTCTATTCAAAAACGACTATATATGAAATGCAAATATTTACATAGCTGTAGTAATGAGTCAGTTTTTAAAGGAATAATTCACCAAAAATGAAAATTGTGTTATTATTTACTCACCCTTAAGTTGTTCCAAACGTTTTCTTCTGTTGAACACAAAAGAAGATATTTGGAAGTATGTTGGTAACCAAACAGTTGCCGGTAGCCATTTGCTTCCATAGTATTTTTTTCCATACTGTTTGGCAACTGTTTGTTTCCCAACATTCTTCTTTTTGTGTTCACCAGAAAAAGAAACTCATACAGGTTTGGATCAAATTGAGGGCGAGTAAATGATGGCATTATTTTCATTTTTGGGTGAATTATCCTATAACTTTCGTCTGTCATTTGAAATAGTATACATAATTGCTTTATGTAATTAGGTTATTTATAAAAAAACATGACCATATTACACTCAAAAAGTGCACATACTCTCACACATACACAGTCATAAAAGAATCCACATCTGAAAATATAAAGAAAAACAGCTGTACATCTTGTTGCAGTCCAAGTCAGAGTCATTGCAGTTCAAAAAAGTCACTTTCCTTCCATGGGCAGGTCTGTGTTGGTCAAATCTGCACCAGTATGGCTCATCCTCAACAAACCAGAGGCTCTAATATTTATTCATTTTTAGAATTAAGCTTTGAGTTTTTATTTTTGCTTTTTTTCTTCTCGGGGTTCTGCAGCGGATGATCCTTTGAGGGACTCTGAGGTGCATGAGAGGACTCGTTGTTTTGGCGCGTGTATCTCTTGCAGGTGCAGGATGTGACGGCGGTGATCTTGTAGGTGCGTGTGCTGCCGTCCTGGCACTGGAGTTTAATGCGCTGGATGCGTGTGCGTTCGGTGACGCAGCGCCACTCCTGGGCGTCCCGTCTGCTCCAGTAGTGACCTCCACCGATCCAGTTGGGCAGCAGGTGCGTGGGAAGACATTCTCCAGCACACACTAACTCCTTGACGGGATTCAGGCTGGTGCATTGGCCGTCAGATATGTATTTAGTGGACCTCAGCTCCCTGCAACCGACCTGGTGCTGTTCTGCAAAAGGAAAGTTCATGCTTTAAAAATCAGTGAATGGAGAAGGAATTATATGATGCATTGCACTTTAAGTTACTTCTACAGTAGGCTAATACAATAGCCTGAAAGTTTAAATCAGTTTTAAAGGCTTTAAGTTTTAAGGTTAAACAGACATGAACAGACAGACTGCTAGATACACTCTAAAAAATGCTGGGTTGTTTCAACCCAATTTTGGGTAAAATATGGACTAACCCAACTGTTGGGTTAAAAAGTTAATTTAAAAATGTAACCAAAATTTAACCCAACAGTTGGGTTAGTCCATATTTGACCCAACATTGGGTTGAAACAACCCAGCATTTTTAGAGTGTAGACAGACTGATAGATAGATAGATAGATAGATAGGTGTTCAGGCAGGTTGCATATATGTTCTGACTTGTTGAAAATAACAACTTTTAAGGCAATATCACCGGAGTTATAAAAATATACAAAAGCTCATGTTTTTAAAAATATCTGCGAGCAACCATATAGATTCTTATGATTTGAATTTTTGTAATATTATTAAATATATGAACCCTACAAAAGTATGATAAACGCATGAGTAAATACTTAAAGGTAAACACGTACCGGTTTGGTCCCGGCTCTCCGTTCGTCTTCCTCCGTTGCGCGCTCGATTTAAAGAGGCATTATTTGGAGTCTGGTGAGATGATGCCACCACGTGCCCATGAAACTCTTCAGTGCCATCATTTTTGAAAGCATGACAGCTTTTTATCAGAAAGCAGAGCAGAAACAGCAGCTGGTATTCGCATGTGTTGAGGGGCATTGCAAAAGAGTTCGGTTCAGTGTCTCTTTGAAAACTCAGAGAATGATTATACCTACCTGTTTCTCATCCATGTTTATATACCCGCCCATTCCAGAACAGCAGCAGTGAGTGGAATGATGAAGTGTCCTGGAAATGGGCGTGTCCTCTCGATGTAGTACACGCCCACCTACAGCTACAGTATTTTGCACGGTGGAAAATTATTCTGGAAATTGGAAAATTATACTGATGTGAGCTAATCGTCGCAGAAACATTACATGAAATCTGACAAAAAAACATTATAAATATATTGTATCCAGACGATTACATTTGTTGTCTGTAATAGCCTATTTTATATGTATGATTATTAAAACCAATAAAATTTCATTTGGTGTAAAACTGCAACATTAATAGAGAAACATACCAAAACGTTTTTAATTTTATTCTGACTCTATTCATGCAGTCTGCCTGACTTTTAAATGTTACTTTCATTCTAATATAATCATATAATGTTATATGAAGTATTATTATTAATTTGACTATAATTTTATATATATATATATATATATATAAGACAACAAGGAAATAAACCTATCATAAAAAGCAAGCATTATCTTAAAACACAGCTCTTAAAACATAAACCTTTATTGCTAAGCACCTTGGAGCGTCATAAAGAATGTCAAGAGCTGAAAAAGGCAGCAGCACTTTGTCAACAAGATTGAATATGCACAGGTTAATTAACCATCTCTATGCCTAAGTGCAATAAAGTTGGTTAAGGAGGAATCGATAAGCAGCACGTCTGCACACATCATTGATTGGGAGGTGACTTTTATTCTGGACAGTGATTTATGGAGTCATGAAAAGGTGCAACCAGAGTCAGGTAACTGCATTGAGTGGGGGAGGAACAATTATTATGGATTAATGAACAGAATGAAAGAACATGTAATGGACAACAAGAACAAAAAATAATCCAGTACATATTTTAAGTTGTCTAAAAGAAAAGAAAACATTCAGACAATTCATTCCACAAAATGAAAACTGAATGACATTTTTCACAATCATTTTTAATAATACTTTCTTATATTCCCATGGCCCTACAGAGGACAATCGTTTTGGAGAATGGATGGATGGATTCTTGAATTACATTTTGTTGAATTTTCATATTTTGCAGTTGGATTTATTTTATTCTCAAATTTTTTAAATAATGTTTAAAAATTTCTTTTTACTAATGCAAACAAACTTTCACTATTACTGTATTGATGATCTTAAGTAGGAAACACCTATTGTGTAGCTCAGTTGATACATGTGAGCAAACAGTGCATTGCAACACTCTCAAACAGAGAGACACTGTGCTGAGGATGTTGCGCTCTCAGGTGTGAATGAGTTTTCAAGCATATTTAGATCCTCTACATGTGAACCTGATGCATTGAACTCTAGGTACAGGAATGCATGACAAAACCTATGAAACGGGATAGCCCTGGATTATTTTACCCCAAAATTATCCAAACAGGTGCCTCCGATGAGCTCACCAAATGAATGTGCATAACACAAACGACATGGAGGAAACACAAAAGCCCAATGCTCGCTTTCTTTTACCAAAAATGTGTGGCTCCCCCAAAAAGTTTCTAGTTTCACTCACTCCTCGGGCATTTACGATTAATTCATTCCACTTGCCCCCAGGTACACTTCTTTGATTCGGAGGAAAAACACTTTAATATTGTGCTGATTTTTTCCCCCCTTTTTTTGAAAAACAAAAATGTATTTCAAAAGCCACTGCTGTCAAAATGATCTCTTATTATCTAAAAAGCACTGTTAGTCATATTGGTAAAGGGGGGTTTATTGGGGATCACTGAATATGCATCCTCAGGGCTTGAAAGAGGAATATCAAAGTCATGTGATACGATGCGGCATTCGCTAATTTCTGCATCTGAAAACCGGATATTTGAGATAGTCCTTTCATGCACCTGTAATGACCGTGACATGCTCATAGATGGAGACAGGAGAGGGATGAATCTCAGGGGAAACAGAGAGGTTACAGCACGGAGTTATGGGTATATTGACATGCGACGTGACAACTGTGTGCTAAATAGACCCTCGTTTGGCCCACAGGGTGATATAGTCCCTTGGGATGAGGGGATGTGGAGACTGGGAACAAAGCGCTCGGGAACAGACAGAGCCGTCTATAGAATTCTGAGCGAGTGCCTTAGGATGTGTGCAACAGGACCAAGTGTGGGAAAGTCCACGGAGGAGCTCCCTGCTCTCTCAAAACTCACTGTTTAATGCAGTTACGACACTGCAGCTTAAACTGGACATTTTCCAAACATTTTTTGAGAATGTGTTGGTATATATTGATTGATGATTATGATAATGATGCATATTAATTTAAAAAATTTTATCTTTTTTTTAACTTTAACTTTTAAATAAACATCATCAGGTGTCTATTTTATTAGGTGTGGGAAAGTCCACGGAGGAGATCCCTGCTCTCTCAAAACTCACTGTTTAATGCAGTTACGACACTGCAGCTTAAACTGGACATTTTCCAAACATTTTTTGAGAATGTGTTGGTATATATTGATTGATGATTATGATAATGATGCATATTAATTTAAAAAATTTTATCTTTTTTTTAACTTTAACTTTTAAATAAACATCATCAGGTGTCTATTTTATTAGGTGATCATTATTGAGATCAAAATTTCACCTGAAAGAGATTTATGTTTGTAATAAACACTGTGATTCTGATCAATTAAAGCATGTATGCTGTTCATTCTAAGAAGTAAACAGTACACAGCCTGCTGATGCCAAATTTAAGTTCACACTTGATCTTCAGGGGATGGACGCTGCCCTCTAGCGGAAAATTACTGAATTAAAATGTATGTATTACATCAATTTCTTTATTTGATCAAGAAAAAAAAAAGTTTAGATAAAATTAAGCCTTCAATATGAACTCTTTTAGAGGTTCTACTTTAAAAGCAAATTATGCGAGAAGCAAAAAACAGATTTAAAAAAAAAAAAAAACTATGTTATGAAACAAGCAAAAATAGAAACACTAAGGTGGAAAAGGTACAACTTAAACAAAAGCACATAAAGGAATAGTTCACCCAAAGATGAAAATTTGCTGATTATTTACTCAGCCTCAGACCATCCAAGATGTAGATGAGTTTGTTTCTTCATTGGAACACATTTGGAGAAATTTAGCTTTACATTACTTGCTCACCAGTGGATCCTCTGCAGTGAATGGGTGCCGTCAGAATGACAAACAACTGATAAAAACATCACAATAATCTACAAGTAATTCACATGACTCCAGTCCATCTGTTAACATCTTGTGAAGCGAAAAGCTGCATGTTTGCAAAAAACAATTCCATCAAGATGTTTTATAACTATAACTGTCACTTCTGAGTCTATAATCCTCCAGTGAACAAGTCCATCCAAAATCCATCAACATATTCGTTTAGTACTTTTTTGGACTGTTTTCACTTGTAAACGATGCTTGATCTGTGTATATTTCTCTCCTGATTCAGATGAGATGACTTTTTCACTGGAGAAAGCAATATTATGGATAGAGGACTTGTATTATAACTGGAAACAACAATTTTAAAAACATCTTAATGATGAACACGCTGCTTTTTTCGCTTCACAAGATGTTAATTAGTGGACTGTAGTCATGTGGATTACTTGTAAATTATTGTGATGCTTTTATCAGCTGTTTGGACTCATTCTGATGGCACCCATTCACTGCAGAGGATCCATTGGTGAGCAAATGATGTAATGCTGAATTATGTAATGCGAAGAAACAAACTCATCTACATCGAAGACGGTGAACACATTTTTAGCAGATTTTCATTTCTTAGGTGAATGATTCCTTTAAAGTGGTAGAGAATATCCTCAAAGTTTTTCTTTCTGTCTCTGGAGTATCAAACAGTTGCCCACAATCAAAATAGTAAGTCCTTTGGTTAGCAGTTTGTCATGTGCTCTGCATGTCCTGTACTTACACAGCTTAGAATAAGTATACAATCCAACACTTCAGTATCATTGTTTACTGTTTCCTATAAAATGCAGAGCACCAATCACAGCGCAGCACGCTGAGAACGAACTGGATGCCCAGCGGACTTCACCTGGCCAAAGAAACAAGAGCCCATATCTTTCTGCTCCTCAGTCCTTTCCAGCACAAGGAGGATCTTCAGAGGCCTCAGAGGTTTCACTGTGGTCTTCAGAGGGACTGTTCTGAAGTGCACACTTTGACAACCCCAGACACAGAGCCAGCATGGAGCTGGCGGCGTTCACTACATCATTGTCATCAACTGATAGGAAACAGAAAACAAACAAATGAAATAAGCTTCGTATTTCACTTCTAAAACTCTTATAACGTAACATAAAATGACAAGAACAAAGCTTCTGTAGAAAAGAACCTTGTTTTTATCATCAGTCCTTAGTCATTCAGTGTCATGATGACCAAAAACACTGGTAAGATTCAGTAAGATCTAACTCAAGTAAATCAAGCATTTCTTAACTAACCACTGATGTGCTAATATGCTAACACTTTACCACTGCTAGAGAGTTCTCTCAGTTTGGGCTGGCGGTTGCCTCTCTGTGGCACAGGAGTTTTGCACTGCCTCTTATGGGTGAACCAGTGCAGCCTCTGACACGTCGGCCCACAGTAGACCACCTGCAAAGAGATCAGAGCATTATGGGAAAACAGTGTTTCAGCAACATGTGAAACTCCAACATAATGACAAGAGAGCTTACTTAAGAATACAAAACAATCTTTGTATAATGTAACTCAACAGTGCACTTTAAATTCAGTTTTAAAGTTAGATATCTTTTAATTTGAATGTTCTTGCATTTCTGACAAAATCTGGGCTTCTTAATTAAAATGTTGTAGGTTCAGGATGAGCCTCAAGAGAAAGCACATGCTAAATAGCAACTTAAAGTCAGTATACTTTGCAGATGGTCATTATGTGTGATTAACTGTAAAATAAATCACATGAACAACATTTGTAAATTTGGCTACAAAATGATCAAAAATGTCAGTATTAATGGAATGAATGTTGGT